TCCCTAAAGACAGGTTGTGTATTAAATGTCTATTGTATTCTTCTTTTGTAATGAACAACTTCTCACTGAAATTATTTATTTCAAGGAGAAATTAACGTTGATCAAAAATACTCCTTAGTTTAAATTCCTTTACGGTAGTCACCAGAGGTATGCAAGCAGACTAACCACGAGCTAACTCCATATTAAATAGCTATTAATAGCTTCTCTTCACGATTATTAAGTCTCTCTTTCTGCAGATCTGCCACTTAATTTTTTGGCTCCCATCCAAATAATGTTTTTACATCATTTTGCCTTGATTATAAGATTTGAAGCCTGTATCATTTACTTCATTGTTTGGGAAATAACAGGTTAGAGAAAACTTGGAAAGATTACTTTCATCCAAATGTACTGGCTCAGAGAAATCCAGTTACACAAAGATGATGTGGAAGTCAAATGGAAGGGAGATGGTAAATTCTAAATGATATTTAATAACAGACTAGCAAAAATGTCATTAGACATGGGGTATGGGGTGAATTTTCTAACAGTTTATAAAGTATCAAAGGCAATCATTGGCTCCACCACTTTATCTTTCCTTTTTAGATCAAATACTAATCTCTGTTCAACCTTAATCATACGAAGCCAAAAACATTAGTGTCTGTGTTTTATCCAGACTTTTCCCCAGAGCACCTTGATAGGTTGACAGACTGACCATATTTTAATTCATGTTCTGGAAAAACAAATTCCTACTTAGCCTTTTACGTTTCAGGCATTTTTGTAACTGCTTGCCTTTTGGAAGGAATGACATTTGTGTGCTCTGATAGACAAAATGGAAAAACGCAGTAGTTAGTGCCTAATAGTCTACAAAGTTATCTTGGAGCTTTGTAGCATGTGCCATAGTCTCCTGTGCACCAAAGGATATTTTGACATCTCCTCAATTCGTGCTTTTTGTGACCTTTTATCACAAAAATAGATCAAAACTGAGCTCCAGACACTTTGTTCGGAGCCACAGTTCGTATTCAGAAAGGTCAGTGGCTTATAATATGCTATTCCATCTGGGGCTCATTAAGAATAATTTTCCTCTGTTTACACTTTCAGATTAGTTTAGAACTTTAAGGCTGTCACTCCACTGTTAGTTTTCATACTCTTTAAAAGGAAGTTTAAATACAGAGGTGACAGAAAACCTGGGACCAAGTTGGGGTAAAACTCTAGAGAAAGAATCAAGTGTGGCATATTAGAGTTGTGATGTCAAGAATAATACTGCTTGATTAAAGTCAAGACTATGCAATTCGCCATATTTGCATGGAGTGGAGCCTGCAGGTTAGCAGTGCTCATTTGTACAGTTCTTGTCGTACTGAAGATTTCTTAGAGCATTCATCTCAAGCAAGACGCTAGGTTGTTTTACCTTAGTGCCATTACACCCAAGTGACTCGAGCAAAAGGACAACGTGCTGAAAGAGATAAACAACGTGCCTTCTCAGAGATCTCCATTTGGACATCAATAGGAAACAAAATCTGCTGTCCACCTGAAGAATACATTTCGGTAGAAGTACACACGGCCAGATACAATTGCAAAATGTTGGGTTTGTCTGTAAATTGCACTGACAGGCGTATGAAGCAATAACTTTGCTTACCTAATAACAGACACCGTGTCTACCCTGCGCATGACTTCATAAGTTCCCTACTTTAACAGATGACATAGCTTTGAAATCTGCTTTTCATGTTATACAAGACCAGGTACATTTTTTCCTCAGCATAACTTTTTGTGACACTTTTGGACACAGTTATGAGTTTTCAACAATGGTGTTAGCTGTTAGAAGACACCAAAGTATATGAGCAAAACCAATCATATGGATAACATCACACACCAATTTTCAAGTGTGAGTTCTGAAGGGTTTAGTGAAGTCCTGTTACTTCTTTCAGTAAGGAAGTACTGCACTCTCTAACTGAATTGGTTGGATAAAAAGAACATTATTTCCCTTTAGTTTCCTAAAAAAATTAAATCCGAAATATGGTTCTTGTGGCTCTCTGCCTAGCACTGGACACTATTTAAAAAGTTACTTTATAGACTTGTGACCATTTCTATCGTATTATCTCAGTCTCAGCACACCATTACAGCTTGCTAAAATCAACTACTTTCAAGTACTTCTGCTTGAATTATCATATATCAGAGGTTGCATAAATAACATCTCCACAATTTTAGTTAATTAGTCCATAAAGCAAACCTGTCGGGTTCTTTGCCACCATTTAGGAAGACACTACTTAGGATTTTGCTTGGACATTGCCACAGTGATTACATAAAAGGAATACATTTCCAGTAACTGCAGAACTTGACCAGAAAGAACTTATTTCTAAAAACATTTTGTAAATATTAATACAAAATCTGTTTCGTGTAAAGCCTGGATGGATGGAGAGATACATGCATACTCACCTGTAATAAAAAAAAAGATTACATCATAGCTCATATACTTATATTCTATCAGTCCACCCATACTATTAACATAAACATCAAATCACAATTTATTCCATGGAAGAATTGTATTCCATTTGTTCTAAGCACTGAAATATGAAGAACAGGTGTTTGGATTTAATTCCAAATGAGAATTGCAGCTTTTTGGCATGGAAACAGTTTAGCAAACGGAGAAGGATGAAATATGGAGATTTTTTGGCCTGTTTCTGTGTTTACTTGCAGCAACATGACACTTAAATACCAACCCAAAAATGAAGAGAGAAGTGATCAAATTAACATAGTCAGATCATGGGTCAGGTCAGAACATACACACACGGATAAGATCCGTAAGAGCACTCAGTACTAGTTTCTAACAGCTCTATTGATACACAGAGAAAAATCTTTCTTTACCTCAAAGGCATTCTTTTCAAATGAAAATAAAAATTAATGAGTTTGATCAATGCTGAATGCTGAAAGATTTAGGACTTGATTTTGTGTCCTCTAAACCCGCACAGGGCAAAGGTTTGACATCATTGCTTATGTTTATTGCTTTGTTCAGGTCTGTCGTCATCCTTATTCATAGGGTATTTTTTTGAAGATCCTGTATATCAGCCAGATTTTGAGTTTTGAAATGTTGGACACTTCACAACAGGGACAAACAAAAAGTTTACCTTATCACCAGTAATTTTTAAAACTAGAAGGACATATCATGCATTTTGGCTGAAAAATAATTAAGGTTAAGATTGTAAGTGTATTACATCTGAATAACCAGTGGCATAGTTCCTACACAATTCTATAGATAAAGTAAAATAAAAAAACAAACCCAGCCCCAAAAAACAGAACAAAGAGAAAAAAAAAAGAAAAAAGCACAGAACAATAGTATGTTTTACTTAACCTCTTGAACTTAATCATTAGGCTTACTGTTCTATTGTTGTTAGTATGTTTTAGCTTTTTCTTTCTTTCTTTTTTGAGCTTACTAACAATGCTCAAGAACTTAAGTCAAACATTCTTCAGAGAATGAAAATACAATGATGAGTAATAATAATAAAAAAGAAATAAAGAGCGTGGGTCAACGAACGTAGATTGTATTGCGAGCCAGGCACCATTCCCAGCTCTTCTACTCACCCACCATGTAATTAAGGGCAAATCTTTTCACCACTCTACACAATTACATTCTCTGTCCATTGTCTCCTTAAATTATATTTTTTTTTGGCAGCCCAAAGAATAATATTTGTATATCCTCATACATACAAATACACGTGTGTGTATGTCTGTGTGTGTATATATACACACTGCATGGCACAGGAGGGCTCCATTTAGAGGCTGTAAAAAGAATAATAATCATAATATGTTGTAGTTTAAATAATAAAATAGGAAAAAGCTTTAGCAGATTTTTTTAGAGTACTATTAAATGAAGGCTTTCCAAAAAAAAAAAAAAAAAAAAAATTCAGAACCACCCAGAGCCTTAAAATCTCACCAAAACCACTGGAAGCAAAACCCCTCAGGTCCAAAACACACAGAATGGATCCAAATGCATTCTTATAAGGAGAATCCAATCCAAATGCTATTTGCCAACATATTTCTAGTACTACCACAATAAATACCGCCAACAGAGATCCCTGAATTTTATTCCACAAACATGCTGATGAGCCTAAAGCAACCAAAATGAACTCATATAGGAAATCCATAAAGAAAAAGAACACCTGTCAGTGGAGGAACACTTCTCAGATAACAGTCGTTTAATTTGTAACATCTCAGTCTTGATCCTTGAGGAAAAGATACTTAACTTCTCCCAAGGACAAGCCTGAGAACTAAGATTGACAATGGATGAGAGACAAGCAGATAAATGAGATTTAATGATAGTAGTTTTATGGGACATTGGGACCTCCCCTCCTTCCTTCTTTCTTCATCTTAGGGATATAAATCTTTCCCCTTAAGAGAATATATGACCATCTCTTTACCATCCTGCACCTTTCTTTCCCTCCAATCTCTTTTCACCAAATCCACCTTACCTTTCAGAGACGGTTCAGAACAAAACTATCACCTAACTTTTGTTTAGCTTTCAAATCTGCTGCTTCAGTCTTTCAGGGACTGAAGAGGTACTTAAATGTCTGAGTCTTTCTTTAATTTTTCTAGATATGTCACCATATCTCACAAATGTGTTAGATTTATCTACAAAGCCCATCTCAGTTATGTCCTTCAATCACCGGTCACCCCAAAACAACTGTACTTGGTTAATGACTGTATTTAGGAAAAAAACAAACACATACACAGTATGACCCAGATTTTTTGAGACCTCGATTTTTATCTATACCCCTTTGCCTAGTGTTTCTTAATAACAGGCTCAGGGCTTTCAGAGGCTGTTAAACAAAGAGTTGTTTCCTGGACTACATATCATCCATATCATCTGTAGCACTCACCTTTCCACCCTCATCAAATTTTCCCACGTGAAAAAACCATTCTCGAGAACAGAACCAGGTTGGCATGATCACAGTAGGTCCATGGGAGGTAAACACCTAGGAAAAAGATGAAAAAAGCACCAGTGTTAATTAATAGAATGTCAGAACCAGCTCTGTTGGAGAACAAAGCAGACCTTGCACATTCACCTGAAATCCTGCAAATAATTATGCCTATACTTAACCTTCAGCAATTTTAAGCACTGAGAAATGCAAGTGCTTAAAATTTAGCATATTCTTAGAGTTTAAACTATGGTGCATAGCAGCACCTTTGAGGTGTCACAGCCCGAAAGATGAATCTACTTCCTGCTTCATATTCCACAACTTTCTCTTCTGTCATAAGTTGCAACACATGCAGAGTACCTCAAACTTTATTTCAAATTCAGAGAAGTATACTGGAAATGACACTTCTGTTACTAATGGTGATGTTGATAATGAAGTGAATGAATTGAGAAGAATCTTAAAAAGTTAAGAGTTCTTAAACTCAACCCTACAACTGTTGTGCATTGATTTTCCATTTTATATTCCTTATACCTATATTAAGTAGTAACTTCCATCGATCTTTTATTTCTGCCAAAGACGCTTACATCTTCATCAAGCTTGGACAAGATGCAATTTATTTTAAATATTACCAAAGCACTACGGATTTGCTACCCAGTGGCACCTACCTTAAAAGGTTATTGGAAAGAAAATGCCTTAGGGACTGAAAAGGGAGTGGTTATTAATTTCATCCTCTTGACTAGTGACAGCCAAGAACTATACAAATCGGTCTTTGCAGCTTTAAACAAACTTGTTGTAAACACAACTGTGAAATAAACCAGAATCTGGATTACAGGAGGTAAACTGGTTCCTTCTTCTATTACAAGATGAAGTATCTAGCCAAACAAGAGGCTGAACTTGTCAAACAGAACGTGCACAGTTAAGACAGGAGACTGTGCCTGCTTCCAAGAGCTACACAGGAAATAAAGAGCACAGCCTGGATTGTGAAGGCAGAAGAAACCTCACAATTACTGCCAGTCTTCAAACACTAATGAAAATGCTGATCGGATGATTTCATAGCATATTAGAGTGGTGATATTAATATTCCTGTATAGTTGAAATTTTTAAACATGGGTGCATGAATGTAAATTTTGTCACGTGCATCTAAGCATTTACATTTTAAAGGTGCTCTTCTTGATTTCAACCTGGGGTGGAGCTCCTTAAACTCTTCTTATGTCTGGCAGCTTCCACAGATAAACACGGATTTAAAACCCAAATTTTATACATTCAGTTCTATACAGACACTTAGACCAACTCTCCAAACAAATTAGATTAGAAATCTAATAAAAACTCAACAGGTGATCTACTCCCACTTTTCTTAAGGCATGAACCATCTGATCAAACACAGGCATCCACTTTAGGGTGAAACACACTGCCTGCTAACTCCAGGAACATAATGATAGAACTTCCCTGTCCATAAAGGGTGACTCATCTTGATACAGACACTTAAATTTTAGGCAGTCAAATTTAGTCAGAATAATCCTATCACAATGGCTATGACTTAACACGTTAGTAGCTTGTTCATAACCTAGCTTCAGAGGTGCTAAATGTCAAAAAATCCCCCCAAAAGTCAGTGGGAGCCAAAAGAGTCAAAACAATCCCAGAAAATGAGAGCAGACATGATTCTCAGTACACGGTCATTAGCTGCACACTAATTACAAGGGCAATTGAGTATGGCCTGAACCAAACAATGACCAAACAGTAATCCCAAAAGAAAACAACAGTAGGGAGAAAAGCCAGGCTAGAATGCATTGCATTGAATCTCATTTCTGAATGAAAGAAAATCTTCAAAAGAAAGTCTTGAGCCTATTGATATACGTGAAATGTGTTTGGCGAGGCCAGAATGCCATTTCCTCAGCGCAGCCAGGTTCAGCCCCGAACAGAAACGCACTGAATCTTCACGATGTAGCTCAATGTAATTACTCCTGCTCATGTGCAAAGAGCATTTATCCCAAATACCTTAGATAATCCGTGTTCCATTGATGTACATACTTAAGTGAAACCACATAGAACAAATTTGAAACATAGAGAAAACAAAAAACATCAAAATGTCACCTATGTTAACATAGAAGATGAGAGGATTATATAGTAGACTATCATACACTGATGTCTTTCCTAAATCAAACAGCGCTCTATGGCTCACTGTCCATCTCAGAAAAGATACTAGAGGGGATTCACACAGACGAAACAGAGACTGATGATGAGGTGGCTGGATTGCCACATATGATTTCAGGGTCTTATCCTTCACGAAAGTCTTCGAACCAGGAACAGTACACCAGCTAAGAGTCAATGATTTGGTAAATAAGCTGCTTCCATATTAATAATATGATGTCAAAGTAAACTTTAGGAAATTTAAATTTGTGCTGCTGTCACAATGCACAAAATCATGCTGCCTTGTCCCTTGCTATGCTAACAATAACATTTGTGAAGCTGAAATCCTGATTTTTGTTAGCTTAGTTTTCAGCTGGATCTGCTCCCTGATCCAACTAACCACAAAACGTCAAGTGTGTTACCACAAAGGAAGATGTAGGAAAACAGGGCACCAAACACACAGAGGACAGCAAGGCCATTCTTTTCAGCAGCAGTATAGATAACCCATAAATAATCTTTAACCTGATAGGGGGAACTGTGTGCTCAAAGTCTAGATTTACAGTACCTCTGTATTAATCTAAGAGCTCTCCCACTCATCCTGCCCCTGGATGCACCCAGTCACTTACAACAGCACTGGCACTCACCTGACCCCATGGTCAGCCACATCAGAGCACTACATCACTATTATTTTCTTTATTTTTCGTATTTGTTTTCCATAGCCTTAGTTCTCTGACTCGGTTCACTGTGGGGTCAGAGTAGCAATCCTGCTGACACACTGGAGGGGAAAGGAACAAGCTTTGGAGAAGAAAACAAGACCTCCCTTTGAGGTCGTTGTCCACAGTTGATCGGTCCAGCTGTAGTATAAAACTGCACCCTCTCTGAATATTTACACTGATGGGAGGAGAACTGGCTCAGGAAACACACTAAACTCCTGACAACTGTACTGAATCACTGCAGCATCTGCCAAACTTCTGAAAACTACCTTCAAAAGCTTTTGAAATTCCATCTTCTAGAGAAGAAAACAAACACCTTAACCTTCTGCAGTTTGGAAATTCTAGGTTTCAGCTTGGTTTAGTCAGACGAGAAAGTCTCCTCTGGATTTCTTTTCTGACTACTCTTGTCACACACTCTTGCCAAGGCGTTAAAAAATGGTTGAATTGGCTGACTCTGTGATAAAAAAATGCAACTTCTCACTTTGCGAGACTGCCACTCGAGACTTTATCCATAAATTTTTTTAGACTGTGTCGACTGGAACAAGAGAAACAAAGAGGATATGCTAGCCTTAATGTGCAAACCAACCAAAAGCAGAGATTGAACTATGATGCAGCTCTGTAACTGCTGTTTAGCTTTCTTGGAAACTTTCTCCAGCTTTGTCCAGCAAATGCCCTGTATCACCTTAGAACCTTAGTGGCTTTTCAGTCCTTCCCAAGGAGTTAATTCAGTATATTGGAAAGCATTTTGGACCTGTGAACCTTTCACACACAGCTGTACTGGAAAATTATGCTTAATAATAGTTGTTATTAATTACAGTACACCGCATGCTGTAAAGAATAACTAAATATAATTTAGCTGAATGAAACCAGCTTGTCAAAAAACAACTACAGAGCTTGTAGATGAAGGTATAAATCTGTTCAGATTTAGAATTCCTGAAGAAAACTGTGTAGTCATAACCAAATTGGAATCCATCTTCATTAGTTTCCAGGTGATGGAGACAGGCTGCTATTTCAGCACCGTATTTGTTAAATTATTTAGAACTTTTAGTGTCATCTGGTTTTGTTCCAATGATCAAGTAGCAAGTAATTGAAACTGAGTTATTCTGGTTTGGTTTTGCTAACTGTTTGGCTGTCAAATTACATTCAACTATTACAGAGATTCTCTGAAAATAAATCTAAAGAGTTGATAAAATTACTTCCCTTTGTTGTGTTTCAAAGCTGTCAACAGCACATGTAATTCTGGTCCCCACTGATGCTCACTTCAGATCTTGTCAGCATTCAATATGAAATTTAAGTTCCAATACTGAGAAAGGCATTCATGTGTTTATAGTAACTCTTCAAGAAAAGTTTTATTTCCTGAACCAGCAAATCAAAATCTAACCGTAAAGTGCCAAAAGAATACATGCAGATGGTGAAACAACCTTATCACATTATGCCACGTAGAAAATGGAGAGGAAACCAGGCAGTTCATAAGAATAACATATTTAATCAAAGACCCAGATTGCTTTCCAATGTAACACACTAATTCTCCAAAATACACCATACATTTAATTCTACTTATGCTATAGCATTTATGAAAGTTATATACACCCAGATCAAGGATTAGAAACAATCTCCTATTTTACGATAAATACAGCTTTCCAATCCACCTGGGTGAAAAAAAAAATAAAGCAAAACAAAAGCCAAAATCACATGGCAGAGGGTCAGAACGATTTTGTGAGCTGTAGCATGACCATAGGTAAAGGACATAACACATAATTTTTTCTAAGCCAGGAGTGAAGATACCAGTGCATTAATTCAGCAGTGAATGTACCAGGACTTCATTACTAAAGATCACCAACTTTGCATCCAGAATCAGGTGCATATATTAGTGTGAAAAAAGAGGTAGGGAAGAGAAGAAAAGACTCCTTATCCTACTTCAAAAAAGTATTAGGAAAATAAGATTTTTCAAAAAAGAATTACAACAAACTTTATTAAGCTTTAAAGAACCTAGACACCCAATCTGGTATGGATTACATTCAGCTAGTTTATATTGCACTGAACTGTTTCACCCTTTCATATGCCTATATAAATAATTGCTGTATCACCTAATCATTGCACGCTTCGATATCAGCTGAAAATCCCTGCTCTAAAGAAGCCGGGATCTGGCACAGCAAAAAGTACATTTCGGAAATCCAACACGCCACGACCCTCCACACTGAAAGGCTGATATATACA